AACCCTCTCCAACTCCACTTTTCCTTTAAGCCCCTGCCCCCATCCTTGATTACATGGCTCTTGTTTGCATGCTTGGCTCTTTCCCAATACTTGAGCTTGGCATCCAAGTCCCATGTATCCTGGTAACTGCTCTGTCATTGAGCTACAGGAACAATTCTTGCTAATCTTGTTTTTAACACAACAGCTCTCCTAGTTGCCCGGTAGCATGGTCTTGAACTCAGTATGTAGTCTAGGCACCCCAGACTCTTGTGCCCCAGCCTTCTTAGCGGCTGGGTTTACATTCTCACTCTACAGTGCTGAAATCATGTTACTCACATACTTAATTAGTTCTTGTGTGTGCAGATGTTCCACAGTGCCTGCCATGGCACACTCGTGGGCAAGGAAAACAATTTTGTGAAGTTGGTTCTCTCCTACCTTTATGCAGGCTCCTGGGGTTGAACTTGGGTCGCTAGGCTTACACAGAAAACATCTTTACTGGAAAAGCCATCTTGCCAGTTTTCCTTAAGAAGTGATTTGTCTTGGAGTTACTATTGCTGTGATGAAATACCATGAGTAAAGCAACTTGAGGAGGAAAGGGTTCATTTGGCTTATGGTTACACATAGTTGTTTGTCACTGAAGAAGGTCAGGACAGGTACTCAAACATGAGGGAACCTGAAGACAGGAGTGAAGAACAAGGGGTTGGCTGGAGTTGCCTTTCAGCCAGCCCTGTCTCCTAGACCCCAGTGCTGAAGAAGCCACAAGGTTACTCTCCTACTGAGGACTGGGAATCCTGTCACAGATCCTTACAGTTAGACTGAACCGTAGTGTCAGAACCTTAATTGGGCATTACACTTCTGGATAACATACATTAGGGATTTCCACCGAGATGTCACTGAGAAGGACCGACCCCAGGACCTTGGTTGGCAGAGGGACTGAATAAATGAAGTGGGATGAGCCAGCTGTCAGCATTGACTTCTTTCTGCTTCCTGTCCTTGCAAGCTGACTTGCCACTTTGCCTGGCGCTCCTACAACCAGGACTTCCCACCAAGATGGATCCTTTCATACACTGAACAGAAATGAGTCCTTCCAAAAGAGACCCACTCTGAGTGAGAGGGGCGTTATTCTCAATTACTCTGAGGTGAGCAGAGGGGAGAAGAGGGAGTGAGCTGAGTCATCTCTGCTTCCCTGTGAGGGGTGACATGTGACCAGCCTCCACTGGTGGGTTTTAGTCCTACTCTGGGACCGAGTACACATGTCCTTACAGTGACTTTCCAGGTGCTTTGTCACTGTAATGAGAGGATGAACTAATGTAGTTACTGTTTGAACACTGATGAGTTAATAAGGAAAACAAACCCGCACGTGCATAGCTTGTCCAGAACACTATTTTACTTCTTGTAGCATCAACCCTTCCAACAGCAGGGCAACCCGCAGCAGCTTGTTCCACTGAAGTAGAGGGGATTAAGGAGAGAGGCGCAGGAGTGGGCAGGAGTGGGGGGAGGGTAGTGGATTATGTGCATGCTGTCAAACCTTTGCATTTAAATTGAAGGTACCCCCCACTTGGTTGGGATTTGGGAATCTTTCTTACCATTTTATTGTTATGCCGGTGGAAGCTATACTTATTTAGGTCCAGTAAGCTTTAACTCTTTACTATTCCCAGTACTATTCACTGTTTTAATGCTAATCTTTTGTAATCATGGCGGAGTAGCATCCTGAGCTCTAAAAGATATCCGTTTATCAGGTGTTCCTTTCAAAATAAGCCCTCTATGTAAGGTGCGAATATGTATTCATAGACTCCCTTAGGGAAGCTGAATATTTCCCCATAACTTTAAGACAGGAAGAGCCTCTGGGCTCCTGCCAGGGAGGCAGCGTTGCTCAGCACGTGGTCACTGGAGGACTCCGTAGAATGAGAGGCAGCTTGTGAAGGCAGTGGGACATGGGAGAAGGCGGACAGCAAGTGTGCGGGAGTGCAAAAGGACAAAGAATGAGATTGCCGAGGAAAAGGAAGACCGTGCAGCCTGGGCTGTCCAGCAGAGGGGGGCAATAGCCCTGCTTTCAGGGGAGAGTCCCTGGGTGAGGGTTCTCTCCAGGTGGTGGTAGGGTCAGAAGTGCATACTCACTCCTCAGCACCCAGGCTAGAGCCAATGCAAAGGTGCTCAGCCTTACTCATGCTCGCAAGGTACTGACAACCAGGCAGGCCACTGGGAGGACTTTGCTTAGAACTAAGGCATGAGCAAAGGTTAGGGTCCCACCCGCTTTTCTTCTCTCTCCTTTTCTTTCTGGGATTTCCTCTCTGAATTCCCTGTGATGGACCTTTGCATGTGTAGTCTGTGGTGTGCCCCTGTTTTCTGATAGGAGGACCACCTGGCTGGGAGCACCTCTGTGAAGACTCCGTAGACTGTACAAACATACTAGACACACAGGAAACAAGAGAGTACTTGGGGTTGGATTTTAGTGTACAATCAAATCTTTTTTTTTTCCTGTATTCAATTTGTAGTTGAAAATTCTCTAAAACTGCTTCAAATGTTTCCATCGTTGTGAATTCCACACACAACTGTGATCTCAAGCCACCAGCTGTTTGTCAAAAATTCCACCCTCTGCTCTAAAGGTGACCCTTCTCCAGGAAGCTGATCTCCCAAGCATTCTTTGTCACTCTCACCACAGTTGCAAGGTGCCTTTTATTTCTTCACAGTTGGGGGACTTCTTCCTCATTTCTCCTGTCTCTAATGCTCTCCCCACTCCCATTCCCAACCCCATATTGGCACAAGAATCACATATGGGTTACATGACTTCCATAGGACATTCTGCAGTAGGCTGTATCGAGTCGGTGTGTGCTAGGGACTCACCAGCTCGCAGCATCAGTGGGCACAGCTTTCCCTTTTTCAAGCTCATAGCTCCTCTTACAGGCCTGGCTTCACGAGAAATTGGTTAGCTGATGAACAAACAGTACTCTCTTCTCTCCTTCATTCCCTTCCTCACTCTCCTTCCTCTTTCCTCCTTGTTTCCTCTCCTATCTACTCCCTCTTTTTTCTCTCCATGTTTGTTTGCTCTTTAATTCTCCCTCTAGCACTTTTGTCTCCTTGGACACACCTGCTCACCTAGAGTAAATGGGCTGTTTAGTCAATTTACCCCACCATTCAAGACCTACGTTCCTGAATACCCAGGGATAGGAAGCTTGCCTTTGGGTGGTGTTGGTTCTCTCTCGATTGGAGTCACTCATTATTCTGCACCCCAGGGAGCCTCATCCCACCCTTTCCAGCTCCACTCTGGGACCCTGTGGACACGGTCAGTGTGGACACTCCCCGGCAGACACCCCCACAGGCACGCACGCCCTGTCTCCAGCCTCAGCAGCAGGTGCGCCTCTGCAGCGCTGCTTCTGGAGCAGTCTCCTTTCCCATAGTAAGGCCCGCTTCCTGGCCTTCTCTGAGGGGACCCTTGTCTTAGCAGCCTCATGACTCTGTTAGCTGTCTGCCGCTCTGTTCTTCCCACCCTCCTTCCCTCACTGCTGTGATCTGATCCCCAGCTGGGCACAGTCTGCGCGTTAGTGCAGGGGGCGCCTGGGTGGGGGGGTCGCTCACCCCTGGGGCTGGACCGTGGTTGCCCAGCTTGCTCCGCTGTGGCCAGCTGAGGCCGGGGCAGCAGTCGCCTGGAAGGCCGTGCAGGACACCAGCTTTCTGGGCAGGGGTGGAAGGAGGTGCCTGTACTGTCAGGGGAGGAGGGACTCCCCAGGGCCGCGTATTCCAGCCCCCAGCCTCGCTGCGCTGCCTCGTGTTTACTGTGATTTCGCATTCATCTATTCGTATTTTCCTGCTGTTTGGCCGGCGACTTCTTTCTCCTATGAGTTGCGCGAGCAGCGCGCGCGGTTGTGTGTGTGTGTGTGTATCAGGTTGGGGTGATCAGTGTTTGTTTTTGAAAGACTGTGAGTATTTTTCCGAGAAAGGTACATTTCAAGGGACTGCGTCTTTGCAGGAGCAGTTTGGGGGGTTCTCTGGCGAGTGTCCTCCAGTGATTAAGCGTGAAACTTTTACGGCTTTCCTCTTTCCTTCCAGCGCCCGGGCCTCCGCTCTTAGACTAACTGGCTAAAAGGTGACGCCTTCACCCCCTAGAAGAGAGGGGACTAGAAAGCGCCAGTTGGTGGGACGGGAGACAGAGCCATTTCTAACCTTTAAAAAGTGAAAAGCCCAACTCGAGAGGCATTTTCTCCTGATGGCCCCTCCCCCTCCCACGCCTTGCACACTCCGCTGAGAGGCAGTGGGCAATTCGGGGAGCTCCTCGGTAGAGCCCCTTCTGCCTGAGCTGGCTGAGTGAAGGAGCCCAGGCTGGTCCTCACCCCCTCCCCATCCCCCACAAACCAAGCCGCTGTGATGTCCTTGCTGTCGCCGCCGCCCCATTCCGCCGCGCACCAGCCCTGGGGGCACGGGCTGTGCTCAGCTGCCCGGTCTCACCCAAGCTCCGGGCTTCCTGGAGGGTCATGCAAACCCGAGCTATGACTAAGGCGCTCACTTGGTAACTCTGCCATATTCCCGATCTTCCCCTCCCTCGCTACCCCTCCCCCTTGAGCCACCCCCGTGTTCCCCTCCACCACCCTTGAGCCCTTCCCCGCCCCCAGACGCCCACCCTTGGGCTCCTTTTCCTGCGAGATCGCAGAGGTGGCGCGCAGCAGCCCGACGAGCCCATGACGGAACCCTGCCTCCGGCTTTCAATGCCTCAGCAGAAGACCCCCAAAGGCTGGCGAGAGGAGGGCTGCGGCTGGACATCCTCCCGGCGACGCTGCTCGGACCTGGTGCTCCTGGTGGATGAGACTGGCGACTGAGCGAGCCCCTGACGCCGCCTGCGCTGTCGCCCGCCCAGCTGCTGCCGTCGATCCGGACCGGCCCCCGCCCTGCGCCTGCTGCCGCTGCCCGGCCCAGAGCGGGTCCCGGCTTCGGGCGCCCCGGGGCTCGCCCCGCGCCTGCCGCCGCCCGCGCGCCGACTGCCCGCCGCGTCCTCCTGACAGCTGCGGCGGCGGCGATGATGCAGAGGAGGAGGGCGCTGCCGGCGGCGGTGCTCATGGTGGCGATCGGCGCCCGGGTGTGATGCGAGCGTCATGGTGGAGATGCTGGCTTCGCGGCGGTGAGAGAGCAAAGGAGGGCGAGAGGCAGCCAAGGGCGGAAGGCAGACCAGTTCCGATCGCTTTCTTCCCTCTCTCGCTTCACCCCACTGTATTTTGCCCGTGGTTTGCGTATTTACAATCTCTGGACTCCATCCTTTCCCTACCACCGAAATCTCCCCGTTTCTAAATGGAATTAGTGGAGATTGGAGCCTCTGGTGTAACGCACAGACATGATCTATGGACGCAGTTTGTTTCACAGTGAGTACCTCTCCAGCGCGCCAGTCCGTCCCGGGGTGCTGCCACCTCGCCTCTTGGACCCATGCGCCTGGAAAAGCCCTGCCAAGCGCTCCAGCCAGACCCCGCAGTCCCTTGGAGTCTGGGGCAGATGTAAACTTTCCGTACTGCAGCATCATACAGCCTGGCGGGGGCGGCGCGCTGAGCTGCGCTGGACCTCAGAGTTGGTCAGGGAAAACCTTCTCTCCATACCATAGGCAGGAGCTGGGGTGGGCCAGAGGAGCGTGGAGTTAAAGAGTGGACACGTGCAGGAGACGCTGGCCCCAGACAGGACGCAGGTGGGAAGAGGGAGGCAGCGGGGCTGATTCTTGCTAAGCAAGAGGGAAGAATCCTCCTTGGTGGGGTGCAGGGGTTAAAGGGCCTTCCTTTCATTCCCCAGGTAAGCTGGTGTACACCGGAACCCACGGGCTTTAGGAAGAGTGCATGCCAGCCTCTGTCCCCTATAGCGCTAGTTTTGCTTCGGAGTGTGGCCAGCCCTGGGGGTTAGGTGGAGAGGAGTGGAGACAAAGAGGTTCAGAAGTCATTAAAGGCAATGTCAGAAAATGTGTGTTGAGAATGCCACGTTTTGAAGCAAGGGCTGGTGGTTAAACCTGTGCCACCCTCAGCTAAGAGATTTACTTAATCCAGGAGTTCAGCACTGCACAGAATACATCAAAATAGCAAAAGCTGGGTAAGAAGGCCAAATGAGCACTGAGGTATGCCTGGAGCCTCCGCATGCCTGTGGTGGTGGAGGGGGATTAGAATGACTGCAAGTTAGGAAAGATAGATCTACACACACGGGGACACACACACACACACACACACACACACACACACAGAGGGGGGGGGGAATCAATCTTTGAGTCCTAAGACTAGATGGATGACCTGGCCAAAGTGAAAAGTAGTGCAGTTTAGAATTCCTCAAAACTTAATGTCAAGACCCAGATCATTTTTTTTTCTAAGAATAATCTTTATGCATAGATACTTAAGCACCTGTGATGTTCTTTAGATAAAATGACTGAATTATTTCTCCACTTCCTTTTCCTAAATTAGTTTTAGGTTGAAATGTGCAAAAGAGGATCTTTTATGTAATTGGTCAAAATAAATATTAAAAACGAAACAGAAGAAATGTTAGTTATTACCAAGAGTAGATGTTTCTAACACTCTTCTAGTATCAGGTTTTCTAGACATTACTGAGTGAAGAAGTAAACAGAAGTTTAGGTTGTAGTGGCATTACAGATTTATTGCTCAGGGATGCACCAGAGTCTCTGACCCTGAACTGACTGTGGACGCTTCTAGAAGCCCCCTTTCTCAAAATTGTTGTGTTCTTCTGGATTATATTCAATATAGAAACACAGTTCAAGTTAGAAATGATACATTTTGTGGCTGGAGAATGTCACAAACAGGGCTAGTTTGTAGTTTCGTTAAATTTTTGAGCCAAACAAGCAAATGTTAAACTAGCACAAAAAAAAAAAAAAAAAAAAAAAATGAAACCTGCACCAATCCTCTTTAATCTGTTTCCTTTTGCTTTCCCTCTCCACATGTCATGAGCTTTGCTGGACTGTTTATGTACTAAAATCCAAGCTTCTTGGCTCTATGTTGGGCTGAATCATGGGGATTTGGCTCTTTATTTGCTCTTCCTTTTGGTCATGGCCCTTCTTTTCCTCTGAAGACACCCACACAGCTGTTAGGGAAGGGTCCTTCACTGAGATCTTGATACCTCACTGCAGTCTACGGAACATTTTCAGAGTGCAACATTGTCTCAAGTTTTGGAGAGTTTGGGTATCCTCCAATCTAAATAGAAAGTGAGGTCCCTTAGGGGAGTCCCAACTGTTCCTTTGAACATTCTTGAATTAGATTTCCAAAGTTCTGAGCCACCTTTGTAAGGATTTACAATGATAACATTATTCTATTTTGGTAGCATCTTGTCTGCAAACTGTCTTATAGTTTTATAAGATTTTAGTCATTTTTGGTGTGAATTCTAAATTTCTGACTATTCTTTCTATTTCAGTTATAGCAAGTTTAATCATCCTCCATTCTTCTGGAGCAACCAAGAAAGGAACAGGTGTGTTTCTTTGGGAAAATTTTTAATGGGGGTGTCTACTTATTTTGCATTTTCCTATTTTATCATATACTTTATATTCCAGGATAGCTGCATAGCTTATAGTGTATCTGATTGACTGGCTTTGACTAAAAGACCATTTTAAAATTAATTTACTAATGGATATTATGAGAATATCCTTCCTATTTTGTGTTATAAAATACTGATGATTCTTCTTTTAAAAAAATTGTTTTACAGAAAAACAAATCACTTCGGAAACTCAGAAGTCGGTGCAGTGTGGAACCTGGACAAAGCATGCAGACGGAGGTGTCTTCACTTCTCCCAACTATCCCAGCAAATATCCCCCAGACCGAGAGTGTGTCTACATCATAGAAGGTACGAGCAGAGGGAAGTCCAGGGCCAGGGAGGGAAGCCAGTGCCTGGCTTTCTCCAGGCTTATAAGAGTCCCAAGTGTGTGACGTGCACAGAGACATTACAAAACCGATTTCAGGGATACTGAACACAAGTGTCTCTCAATACACAAACAACTGTGAATCTAGAATCAGGCTTATTACTGAAGTTATTAGAAATGGCTATGAGCACACACAGGCCTGGTACATGAAACAAGGCCAAAACCCGAAGGTGGCTTTTGCAGACCCCAAACAGTGCAGCTGTGCAGTTGATAGGCTACGGCGAGTTAGGACATTTCGAGAAACGTGTTTTTCTAGTGTGTGTGCTAGTGTTTTCTTCAGGGTTAACAAGCAACCAAGAAGCATGGGAGAAGTAAAGGTGGAGCCTAGTCATGGTCTCTAAACAGTAACGAGAATGGCATTTAGCTTTCTGTATCTGCAAGTGACGTGAAAGCATTTCAGGGCAATCAAGGTTCTAACTTAGGAAGCTTTCCTCTGTTTTCCAACCCGAAGGAGAAACACACTTTACAGAGATTCACCCTTCTGAATAGTTTCCCTCCAACCTTGAGCCATCTCTCTGATAAATATGGAGGAAACTTTTAAGATATGTAGCATGCCTCCCAGTGATGAAGGCTAAATTGTAAGTGTTGGTTTCAAATAATAGAACATTGTGTACATACCTACAGAATAAGTTATGGGAAAATCGTGACTGTGTAGTGTCTACTCAGAAGCCAGGGTCACAAACACACGGCAGGCCTTTAAAAACATCTCTGCTTTTTGTTGCTCTGATATTTCATTCTTACTTTCACACATAAGTAAGGAACCTCCCTCTTCCTCCAGAATTGCTTTAAAAAGGTTTTATTAAAAAAATCAAAGATTACCCAAAGTACATAAATTTAGATGTTTAAAGAATAAAAAAAAAAAAAAACAACTAAAACAGACATCTGGCAGTTTGGATGGCTAGAAAATGAAAATGTTGAAATCAGCTATTGTTTTTATAAAGTTTATATACATATTTATTAATTGTATCATAAAATATCATGAACTTCTGAAGAAATTACTAAATTTCAAAACATTTCTCATAAAAGGCTGTTTTAATTTTGTTAATTATGAAATGGAGGCAAAGAGAGATTAAATATCTTGCTGAAATTCAGAATACTTGTATTTTAATGAGCAATATTTAAAAATGCTAAATTATTGAAGAAGAAAGTCAGAGTGGGTTATCTAATTTAAAAAGTAACTCAGAAATGATTTTCTGAGTTGTTGCCTGCCTGCTGCACTTTCTTGTTTATTGCTTTGGTGATTTTACAAGTGTTACTAGTCTTGACTGTGATAGAACTCATATAATCTCAGTTATTTCTGTATTTATTTCAAAAATAAAGTGAGAAAAAGGAGCAGAAACCCCTTTTGCGGACACTTCACTCACTCAAACGGTGCTGTAGCCACTCAGTGATAGATTTGCTGTCAGGCACTGCACACAGCTTACAAAATGCTGGAAATGCTACTAGAAAAGGTGCTGGCAACCAGGCTTGGGGAGTCTGAGCAAATCAGGGGCTTCAAGTTGACATAGGAAGGCTGAGAACTGTGATATCATCCTCCACGGTTTATGGGTAGCCAGGTGTAGCCCTCTTTTCTAGGGAACACCATATACTGAGAGTCGGAAACGGGATACCTAGGACTCCTTCAAAGGTAAATAGAGGGACAGGAAAGAGAGAGATGATCCTAAAAAGAAGATATGTATTCTAGGGGCCAAACCTTTAGAAATGCATACAGTCACTGCAGGGAATGGAGTACCACTGAAAGAATACAGAACACAAATGAGGGGAAACTTCCATGGGAAAGCAACTCAAGGAAAGAACGCCGACCAAGGAGCCACTAGATGGCTGAATACCTGAACTAAATATATTGGCAGGCGCAGCAGAGCCAAGAGGGGAGGGGAGATGTATTTAGGAGATTTAAATGCGAATGTATGGGGGGGGTGGGAGATGAGAGAACAGGCTTTAAAAGACATTGACACGCTCAATTTCTCCATTTATATGGGGGTGTCTACTGGAGAGATAGATATGCGGATTTTTAGTTCTAAGCTGATTCTTCATATTTATGGGATATAAACACAGATTATTCATGAGGGTTTCATATAAATAAAAATATCAGAAGGAGGTATTTAGAACACTGATATTTCACCTCATTAACAATATAGCTTTCTGGGGCTTTCCCTAGAATGTCTGTTTCTTTGGAGATGGAGGTCCAGGCACCATCTGATTTTGAAATCATCCTGTTGGGTTTGAAGGACACTCAGTGCACTGGAGTCACATGAAGAGAGGGAAGCTGGAGGATATTTTTCTGGAATGTAATGTGCTGGTGTGGATGAAATAAGGAGACTTCTCTCCCTGTTATGTCTCAGAAGGAGCCTCCTGAGCAGGAGAATAATGTATTGATGTCATGGAGCAGGTGTGGATGAGGTTCAAGAATCAGTCGGCTTTCAAGGGACAGTTGTTATGACAAGCAAAAAAGTGACAAACACCAAATGTGTTTAATGCTTGAAGCAATTCCGAGTCTGCTTATCACTTCAGGATAAGTACAGTGGTTGACACAGTGAAGGGAGGATCCCCCCCCGCCCGAGGCAGCAGAGATTGAGGGAAGACAATGCTTGGAGATGCAGGGTTTGGGGGCACGGTGAACATATTTTGAGAAAAATTACACATAACGTATCTCTAGAAGGAACTGTTTGATCAGTAGAAATAGATAAATTAAAAATTGGAGAGAACGAGAGCATTTTTTTTGATTGTTGACACAATGCAAAGCACCTGGATGAAGATTTGTCCAGGTGAGCAGTTTGAGGGCTAATTCCTGTGGCCTTGCTGTTCTTGCTCAATGAAGGATAACTTGGAATTGTAAGTTAAATAAACATTTTCTAATTTTGGTTGCTTTGGCCAGGGTATTTTGTAACAGCAACAACTAACAAAACTAAGAGGGATAAATAAAGGTCCAGTTGCTTAAGACAAGACAAGATGCGGTTAAAAACAAAACAAACAAACATAATCACCACCAGCAACAAACATGTACACTCTCAGTCATGGGAAGCAAGATCTCGTCATGGGTTTCAGATGCTGTTAGCGCTCCTACAGATCAGGAAGGTCCACTGCGTGTATATTAAATGAGTGTGCATTGACACTGTATCCCAAGAGTCTCAGGGAGACGGATGGAAGTCTAGAGGAACTGTAGTTACAGTTGAACATCAGCTAGGCAAAATAGAATGAAAGAGGCTGTGACTCTAACAAGTTGAAGATGAAGACAAAGTGAGTTTATAGAGCTGGACTCTGACAGATTCAATTTGCCACATCATAACCACACATTTGTACACCAATGATAACAACTCTGTGCAATGTGTTTACTTTTAACAAGTTTTTTGTTATTTCCAAAAATTTAGCTCATATAATTTTCTCAAATGGGCTTATGTGTAGTTAATTTCAGCATGCTGAGTGAAGGGAAAATTAATTATCCATGTATAACACGATTCTGCAGGAGCTGCAATAGGCATACAGCAGCATACCCTGGGTGATGTGTCTGTGCATGCTGGATAGCGTGTAAGCCACAAGAAAAATGAAGATAAGAATGAGTCCATTTTCTTCCCGCATTATGGCTATTTCCGGGTAGATGATACAGGTGGACATACATTTATAGAGGACACATTGAATGTTACATAAATTACCACAAGATAGTACTACTGGCTTTTTCTTTTCTTAGCCTTATATTGTAAAAGAAATATATAGCTAAAAGAAATTCCTAATACGCTAAAGTAGTTTATTTTCTCTTAAAATCTTCCTCTGGCATATGTCCAACCAAGCTCATACTGTAGAGCAGTAATGAACTCAAATAATACATTTAGTGCTATGTTTATAAAGAGATAGCATTTCTTACATGATTATCTTTATATTTGTAGAGTCACAGGCTGTGTAGAAAACATGATTTCTCAGATAGTTTTAAATTATTTTTTTGGATTTCAAAATTTTAAGCATTTAATAAAAATTCTTTCAACTCTATCATACCTCCTCTGGCTGCTGACCTTTGTAATATATACTAATGCCAGATAAACTGTGGCCTGAGTTATAAATTTTTCCCCAGTGAATAATGAGTTGGCACTGTTTTTACAGATTAAAACTATTTTGGAAAATAATCTTTAAACATAAGCTGACCTCTTTGCTATTGATTTTTAATTTTAGACTTGGAGAGAAGTAAGTTCATGTTTTATTACAAAAGTCTCCAATTTCTAAGTTATCATATATCTCAGTTCTAGAGAAATAATCAACATCCAAGCCTGTACAAATTGAATTTTTCGGTTATTGGTTGTGATAATCAATATACACTTAATGCACAGAGGAGCATGGGTATCAGGCATTTGGGATGGTTTCCGACCACATAAGCAGCAGGATTTGCTGTACCTGAGGTTTTGGAAGGGTTAGTCCATGGAGAAGGCCAGGTAACAAGGAAGCTCTTCAAGGAAGTAGTGGCTCCTGGCCTGGATATATGTGTACTGATATTACCACCAATTTTATGTCCATTATAGTGTATTCTGGCTGAGTGTAACAGGAATCACAGTTGTGACTGTTTTGGTCATGAAAGGGAAGAGTGTGAAGGACTATTAATTATGAATTAGTATAGTGATTCATAAGGTTGCTAGGCCCATCAGATGCATCTAATTTTCAGAGAACCGTGGAAATATTTTTAAAGGTAAACCAATTTTAATTTACTACAAATAATTTTTAAAAAATCTTTTATGACATATGTTATGCATAAGTACCAGGGAAATTAAGTAAGGTTCTTGTCTTTAATGAACAGTCTGAGAGAGAAATTTTGCTGAACAAGATTGTCTTAGAGTGTTGGAGATACAGCTTAGTGGCAGAACATTTCCTTATCTTGTGCCGAGCGCTGGTTTCGATCGCCTGCACATAAAAACAAAATAAAACAAAAGCAAACAACAGAAATCAAACAAAACTCTCCCTCCATAAAGAGGAATTAAATTGTAGGTGTGTAGACACCGAGGAGAGTGAACAGCAGCTGGAGAGGGCCTTGCCTTAGTAAACAAGGCATGTGCCAAATGCTTGACTTGCTGGTTCTGAAGCAGTGAGATCATGGAAATGGCTGTTCTCAAGGCCTGTATCTGGCAAGTTCATTGTTCTGCAGTTCAGTAAAAGAGAGTACTACTAAAGTGCAAATAGAGAATGATGAGAGCACATTTTATTTCTGCAATCATTATCCCTGATACCTTGCATATGCATTTGGATCTAATTAAAAGACAAAATTGCCACTACTTGAGTGATGACCATAAACCTGAACAATGAAGATTATGAGAAGAGAGACCTACAGGCCTGTATTTCCTACCATGAGTTACCAGCATTGCTAGCCTGGGTTTTGTGTCATGTTAGCCATTTCACCTCAGCATCATCACTTTAGGTGTTCTTTAATGATCATGTCCCTACAACACTAAGCATCTTCTCTCTTTGCATTTATGAAACTTCTGCAGAGTTCTGTGGAACACTAAGCAAATAGGTTCTGATACAGTATCAGGAAATTTGCCTCTGGATTTAAGACTGTTTTCTACAACTAAGCTTTCTTCTGTTCATCACAGCTGCCCCAAGGCAGTGCATTGAACTCTACTTTGATGAAAAGTACTCCATCGAACCATCTTGGGAGTGTAAATTTGATCACATTGAAGTTCGAGATGGACCTTTTGGCTTTTCTCCAATAATTGGACGGTTCTGTGGACAACAGAATCCACCTGTAATAAAATCCAGTGGAAGATTTCTGTGGATTAAATTTTTTGCTGACGGTGAGCTAGAGTCCATGGGATTCTCAGCTCGATATAATTTCACACCTGGTAAGTGGAAGACTCTTTTCCATTTTTCCCTTCCCCCTTTTATTTTTCTGTTTTTATAGTATAAAATTATTTTAAGATGTTAAAGTTTTTCAGTGATCTTTCAATTATGTTTAAAATCCAAATTATAACACCTTTGTTCATGCTTTACAAATTCTGAAAAAAAAAAATCCTTAAATCTTGGTTACCTTAAGTAGGCAAAAAAATGAATCAAAAGTCTATGTGGTCATCAAAACCACAATTAATTGAGTTGACTTCCATTATACTGAAATGTGTAATTTGCGAGACAGTCTGTAATATGGAGATTAATTTTAGGTAGGGTCTCACTAAGCTTTAAAAGACAATTGTAATATTGAAAGGATGTTAATTAAAATAATTTTTTAAGAACTTGAAAATGAAAATTTATTTGTTCTCAAAATTATTATTTATAAGGCAAAGGCATCCTTCTATATAGTAATATAATTTCTTTTTAGAAGTGGAAAATTTGTTAGAGGTATGAGGAAAGCAAAGGAAAACTGAGCCCTATGGGGGCCAACATCTCAGTGCAAATCAATCCATACTCATCAATTGATATTTGATGAAGTGAAGCTAGATTTTTCTCAAGCTGAAAATCATTCAAATTACACAGAACAAAGAACTTACACAAGGTGACAGGCTTCTCACTTTTATGTGTTATTTTGCTCCAGTTGTAATAGACAAAACAAACAAACAAATAAACAAACACAAAACATAGGCAAAATCTTTGAAGTTACTGTATCATGTAATGGAAGTAAAGGGCTGAGTGATAGCTAGGTGGTGGAATATTTGTCTAGTATGCATGAGGCTCTGACCTTGGTCCCCAGTTTCACAAAAGAAAATAATTGCATATAGAGAGACAACATACACATAAAGTTTTGTTGAACAAAAACATCAAATTTTGAAGTTAACTGACACAGGATTTAGAATTAGTTGCATTATGTCATATAGTGTTTGCTAAATAATTCAGATATTAAATGTATCATGTGCGGAACCCTAGGCAGTATTCCATTTCATGATAACACTGTGGGATTGTGCTTATTAATCACTTTCTATAATGCTTGGATGCACAAAGAAGCCCAGGCTATTTCATATGTGACAATCAAACTAATTTTACATATTTCAAAACTATGATTTATGTTATTTTATTTAGCAGATTTCTTGTGTTAGATTTTTAAATGCATGATTTTGAGATATTTTGAATATAACCTATAACTAAAAAGGCTTACATGAGAAAGGGTTTGATAAGTATATTTGCATTTGTATATTTGCATTATTGTTGATTGTAAACATAATGTCTAGGGTTGAATGCGTCTTCTTCTAAATACTGTCATGTCAGCCAGAACCTTCACCAACACAGCAATGTCCTCTCCACTGCTAGCTTCTTGTGGCATGACACAAATGATGGTGCCTCTCTATTATCCCAGGTTTTCAGAAGTCATGGTGGAGCCTAAGTATTAGCTACTCTGCAGGATAGTTGGAGCTACATGCTTCATGTGCAATACAATATTTTATCACCATGAACAATCAGTCAGAAGGAACCTTGTGAGCAAAATATCCAAACACTAGAATGACTTAACAATTGGCTCAAGCTTCTGTCCATGGATAATGGGTAAATCTGGGCAGGTATAAAGGAGAATTTCTGAGGTAACGGAGACAGTAGGATAATAAGATGGTACATATGCTTTTGTGATGTCAGAAGAGGCATCACCGAAGGCCAACCAGTGTGGCAAAGCAATCTGCAGCTCATTTCATAGAGAGTGGTGGCTGGGGAAGCAAATCCTGGTGTTGGAATAGGCAGGAGACCGAGCTTTGTAGGTGTTCACATAACATTTCAGTCTAGAGTTCATCAGCCTTAGATGTCATTTAGTGTAACGTTTACTTGGCAGTTTGACTTACATGGTGAGCTGAGAAAACTAAGGACTGAAGAGGTCCTCCAGGTGACTGCATGGTTCTCAGCATAAAGTGCTGCATGAGTCATCTTGCCATCGAAGTGCAGCCAGCGTGTGGAGGATGGCCAGCTCACCAGCTCTACATCTGCCATCTGGGTCAGCTTGGGGCGCGGTTACCGGCCTTAAGGTTACTAAGGTTACTGGTTTTATTTTCTCTTTTTCATACCATTCACCTTACACATAACCCACAGTATTTTATCATTTGCTACGTTATTTTGTCAAGACAGAGATAATATCAATGACCTCAGAAGTGTTTATTAGTCAACTAATATATAGTTAAAAGTTTGAATTTTTTGAATGCTTATAAGATCTCAATTGTCCATAGCTAATTTTTAAAAATGAACAAGGTGATGTGTTCTTTAAAAAAAAAAAAAAGGTTAATTTCCCTGGGTGTTTTTTAAAATAATAACATTAATAAAAGAAAAATAAACTTCTTAGTATTTCTATTAAAAGTAAGGATATTTTGATATTATTTGGAAAACAACATCCTAGACGGTTTCAAAACTATACACTCAGGCTCTGGTCTTTGTATGTGTATTAAATGTATATATATATAAAACAGAACTAGTCCTCATGCCACATCACTTTTTGTTAGATTACTTATTCGGGCCGAAGTCACAATGGGAGGAGTTATAGCTATTTATGATGATGGTATTAAACTATATCCGGGAAGAAATAACTGCAGGATGGACAGGGGATTTCTCTTATATATTTACAATCTAAAATGTGAATACATTTTCCTCTGAATACATTTCAGTCAGGCTTTTCAGGATCACGGAGAGCAACGTTCCCTACATGCAGACATACCTGCATGTACAGATTATGATCTGGTGACTGCGTCCGGGGGACCCTTTGAGTTAAATTTTGAAGCTGAGTTCCATTATTGGTACTTTAACATCACTGAGCTAGGGTACTTGGTGTTTATTCACTACAGTGTGGATGAATGTTTCTAAGTCTATTTTAGGACTCTCCTTGGCTCATTCTCATATCTTCTCCTTTCTTTCTGGCTTCCTGCTTCCATCTTTCCTTGCTAACATCCTAATCTGTGTCTTCACTCAGCTCCAAAATTGTTTCTATTTCCTAAGATCTGAGTGTCTGACTTTCTTTTCTAATCGTTCCAAAAATAAAACAAATAGCCTTTTCATCTCCAGCTCCTGCTGGCCCTGGTGTCTGGGCTTTTGAATTCTCAGTGATGTCTGCAAATCAGTCAACCAGAAGTCATGTCTGGACAGAGAGGATAGGAAGGCCGCCAGCAACAATACCAGAGACATGGTGTTGAGGAAGGTGTTCTCCCCCCCCCACACACACACACATTTTAGTGGCTCTTTACTTTTTAGTTCACTGACTTGGGCTGTTGCTTCATGACTTGAGGACAACAATGAATCACCTTGGACATCAGGGTAGCATGTACAAGAATTACAGTGAGAATTAGGAAGTAGTCAAGTACTTCAAATTCTAGGGTCTGAAAAATATAGCAAAAAGACTAAAGAGGGGCCAGAGTGCCTAGTGCCCCTTAGTGCTTCAGAGAGGATGAAAAGGGAGATTTCCCCTGAATTCTGTGTGGTTAGCAGACAGCAAACAAGTAGATTCTGGGTTATGTGGCTATGGCTGGGTATGGTGGCACACATATTTAATTACAGCACCAAGGAGGCAGAAGCAAGTAGATATCTGAGACTTGGGTGAAGGCCTGGTCAATGCATCAAATTCCACGACAGTCTGGGATGCACAGAGAAACACTGTCTCAACAAAATGAAACAAAATGAAACACCAGAGCGAAAAATCTAAGATATGAAAAACGGTAAGGACTATATGTTGTAAAATATGATAACATAGGTCAATCCACCAAGAAACGATAGTAAACATATAAGCATGCACAGTGTTAAAGACTGTATTTTATTATTTAACAAGGACATTTGCTCAGCCATGTTGCTAGCAGCTTTATTCATAATTGCCAGAACCTGGAAACAGCCCAGATGTCCATCAACGAGGAATGGATACAGAAATTGTGGTACATTTACATAATGGAATAGTACTCAACAATAAAAAAAAAATCATGAAATTTGCAGGCAAATGGTGGGATCTAGAAAAAATAATCCTGAGTGAGGTATCCCAGAAGCAGAAAGACACACATGGTATATACTCACTTGTAAGTTGATATTAGACATATAATAAAGGATAATCATACTGAAATCTATATTCCTAAAGTAGCTAAGCAAGAAGGAGGACCCTGGGTAAGATGATAAATCCTCACTCTGAAAGGCAAACAGGACAAACATTGGAAGAGAGAGAAAGTAGGAAACAGAACAGGAGCCTACCACAGAGGTCCTCTGAAAGACTCTACCAAGCAGTGCATCAAAGCAGATGCTGAGGCTCATAGCCTAACTTTTGGCAGAGTGCAGGGACTCTTATGAAAGAAAGAGGAGATAAAAAGACCCTGAGGGACTGGAGCTCCACAAGGAGAGCAACAGAACTAAGAAATCTGTGCCCAGGGGTCATTTCTGAGATTGATACTCCAACCAAGAACCATGCATGGAGATAACCTAGAACCCCTGTAACAGATGTAGCCCATGGCAGCTCAGTCTCCAAGTGGGTTCCCTAGTAAGGGGAACAGGGACTGTCTCTGACATGAACTCAAAGGCTGGGTCTCTGATCACCTCCCCCTGATGGGAGAGCAGCCTTACCAGGTCACAGAGGAGGACAATATAGCCAGTTCTGATGAGACCTGATAGACTAGGGTCAGAGGGAAGAGGAGGAGGTCTTCCCCTATCAGTGGACTTGGAGAGGGGAATGGGAGGAGAAAAGGAAGGGAGGGTGTGATTGGGAGAGAATAAAGGAGGAGGCTACAGCTGGGATACAAAGTGAACAAACTGTAATTAATATAAAAATTAAAATTAAAATAAAAAGATAAAAATACTTAAACCAAACAATAAGAAGCTCAATTAGTAATATTTATAAGGCATTGAATATAACTGTAGCAATATACATCAAATTTTGAGAATGGGTACCCCAGTCATGGAATGACAGGCAAAGGGCTTT